CAGGTATTGATACCATTAGGCCGCGTTAACATCTGGTAGTGTTACCATCAGATAGTGTTACCTTCAGGTAGTGATAGAAACAGGCAGTGTTACATCAGGTAGTGTTGCCATCAGGCAGTGTGTTACCTTCAGGTAGTGTTACCATCAGGTAGTGTTACCATCAGGCAGTGTTACCATCGGACAGCAGTGTTACATCAGGTAGTGTTACCATCAAGTAGTGTTACCATCGGGTAGTGTTACATCAGGTAGTGTTACCATCAGGTAGTGTTACCATCAGGCAGTGTTACCATCAGGCAGAGTTACAATCAGGTAGTGTTACCTTCAGGTAGTGTTACCATCAAGGTAGTGTTACCATCAGGTAGTGTTACATCAGGTAGTGTTACCATCAGGTAGTGTTACCTTCAGGTAGTGTTACATCAGGTAGTGTTACATCAGGTAGTGTGACATCAGGTAGTGTGACATCGGGTAGTGTTACAATCAGGTAGTGTTACCTTCAGGTAGTGTTACCTTCAGGTAGTGTTACCATCAGATAGTGTTACCATCAGGCAGTGTTACCTACGGGCAGTGTTACCATCAGGCAGTGTTACATCAGGCAGTGTTACATCAGGTAGTGTTACCATCAAGTAGTGTTACCATCAGGTAGTGTTACATGAGGTAGTGTTACATCAGGTAGTGTGACATCAGGTAGTGTTACCATCGGGTAGTGTTACCTTCAGGTAGTGTTACCATCAGGTAGTGTTACCATCAGGTAGTGTTACCTTCAGTTAGTGTTTACCTTCAGGTAAGTGAGGTGAGTTCAGTTTGCGCCGCGCTCAGCAATATTCCAGCTATATAGTGACAGTCTGTAAATAATCGAATCTAGACCAGACAATCCAGTGATCAACAGCATGAGCATCGATGTACACAATTGGGATCACGATGACTTGTGTCAACCAAGACAGCGAGCCTGACCACCCTGATCCCGTTAATTAAGCCTTTTACAAGAAGCATTGGTTGCTGAAGACCAATTCTAGCCCAGAATCTTCACGGGTTAGAGAGAATTTGTCTTACCATGTAATAAGGGGCATACAGTGCAGTACACAATAGATTGCACATCTCTCCCTTCATCTTGAAACATTATAAAAGCTTGTAATACAGACACAAGCATTCCAAAAACAAGACAATACTGTGATAATCAATATCTTTCACTTTGACCTACCTGGTTGGTTTTAGACAATACAAGAGGTGTGTGGACCACAACAGTCACAAACAGCTTGGGTGTGAACACAATACTGCTCCCTGGAATCTGAAACTGTGCAAGCACTAGAGGTTAGTTAAAGATCATCTAGATTCTGAACACCCTTAGTAGCAAGCACTAGAGGTTCGTTAAAGATCATCTAGATTCTGAACACCCCAGTGGTTAACACAATACTGCTCCCTGGAATCTGAAACTGCGCAAGCACTTTATTTATTTATTTATTTTTTATTTTTTTTACGTTTTCTAGGCCACAGGCCCACAGCACAAAAACATTTCAATATTGTGATTACAAATGGAATTGATTCATACAATTTCAAAGCAAAATATATGTATTTAGACAAATTCACAGAAGTAAGTTGATGATTTGAAGACATAAGTCGAACAAATGTTGCAAATGAGGGGTTACTATAGTATTTATACTCAATATACTGCTTTCTTAAGTCGGTGAAGGCACAGTTAAAGATCATCTAGATTCTGAACACCTCAGTAGTTAACACAATACTGCTCCCTGGAATCTGAAACACATGCAAGCCCTAGAGGTTAGTTAAAGAGATCATCTAGATTCTGAATGCCTCAGGAGGTAACACAATACTGCTCCATGGAATCTGAAACTGTGCAAGCACTAGAGGTTAGTTAAAGATCATGTAGATTCTGAACACCTCAGTAGTTAACACAATACTGCTCCCTGGAATCTGAAACTGTGCAAGCACTAGAGGTTAGTTAAAGATCATAGTAGATTCTGAACACCTCAGTAGTTAACACAATACTGCTCCCTGGAATCTGAAACTGTGCAAGCACTAGAGGTTAGTTAAAGATCATCTAGATTCTGAATGCCTCAGGAGGTAACACATTACCGCTCCATGGAATCTGAAACTGTGCAAGCACTAGAGGTTAGTTAAAGATCATCTAGATTCTGAACACCTCAGTAGTTAACACTATACTGCTCCCTGGAATCTGAAACTGTGCAAGCACTAGAGGTTAGTTAAAGATCATCTAGATTCTGAACACCTCACTAGTTTACACAATACTGCTCCCTGGAATATGAAACTGTGCAAGCACTGCAGAGGTTAGTTAAAGATCATCTAGATTCCTGAACACCTCTGTAAGTTAACACAACACTGCCCCCTGGAATCTGAGAGCACTGTGCAAGCACTAGAGGGTTAGTTAAAGATCATCTAGATTCTGAACACCTCAGTAGTAGCACTAGAGGTTAGTTAAAGATCATCTCTAGGATTCTGAACACCTCAGTAGTTAACACAACACTGCTCCCTGGAATCTGAAACTGTGCAAGCACTAGAGGTTAGTTAAAGATGTAACCACTTACCCGGTTTGACAAGGCCATGTAGACAGTTGCTGAGGGTTAGCATCAACTCATCATTCACAACCAAGCCATACCGTGCATATATGCTACAAAATACACACAGTTTACATTAACTTCCATTTGATGTACATAACAGCATCAAGGAGACACAATATGTGCCGACATCAAGCGGTTGGTTATTATCAAAATTCAATATTCTGAGGTAGGTGCTGAGGGTTGTTGTTGGAGGCAGAACATTGTTATGGTCACTGATTCAAGAGATCTCCCCGCAATGAAAGGATGCACGCAACAACCATATTTGTTGACAACACATATTTGTCATGTCATCTCCAGCTAACATATGTTTGTGTGTAATTCACGTTTTCAGTATTTAATGGAATAAAATATTGTTTTAAATAATCCACAAGCTTTCAACAGATTATCAATTGTTGGTCTCTAACTGGACAAAACTGAAGGACAAAATTACAATAGAAAAACAGACTACCACAGATACAGAAACTCACCTTTGTTCAGAGATAGAACAAACAAGGGTGCTATACAGTTATTTTGACAAAAAATTACTGGTAGATGTTAAATGTTTTAATATTTCCTTTCTCACTCAATAAATAATAACAAATGCAAATGGGACAACAAAACAGAGGAACAGAATTAGAATCAGACATTCACAGCTTACCACAGACATGATTGAAGGGCTAAGGTGAAGGGTGAAGGCCAGGAAGGTATCGAGAGGCCAGGAAGGTCACAATGGTCTGTGGGGTGATACACACACTGTAGGTTTGGCCTGGCGAGAGTGAGTGGCTGGCCATCTGGTGGCACCACTGACCAAGATAGATAACTCTTCTTCTGACAAAATAAAAGGAATTAATTTAATTTTCATCACAAAAATATATTTTCAATGATTCATAATTATGACTTACTAGGAGGAGAGAGTTGAGATTTTGAACATTCTAAACTCACCACATGTTCCTGGGATGTGAACGGGATGACAGAGTTGAGATGCTGAAAGTACCATGATGCTTTCGGATATTTCTGGAAATCCGGCATCCCGCCTCATTAACACATACACATCACGAGCATCTAAAACCTGGAATTGATAAAGAAGATGACAATGGATTTGAATGTAAATGCTGTAATTATCAATATTAACTTCCAGCAAATTGAAGGTTTGATATTCAACCCATTGTCAATATGATAACGCCATTTTTCCAACTGATTGGTATTAAAATGGACACAAAGTTATTGAGTTGTTAAGCTCATTTTCATGTAATTTCAACTTCAGTCTGATATTCACTTAGCAAAGTTGGCTCAGAACAGAATATTATGGTTATTATCACACAGCATAAAATGTTGTTTTCAATGTTAAAATGCCTTGTCTGGGCACAAATGCAACAATAAAGTATCATCTGTATTAAAAATCAATAATTCTATATAAATAATTGCATCTTTTAAAGTGTAAAGGTTACTGAAACTTGAATTCATCAAAAACAACTCTACAACATATTAGCTGCGAGGTCAGCACTGTAAGACTTCTGCCCATTACACACACACACACACACACACCCCTTAATTCTAACGATGAGAAACAAGAGTCATCAGAAGATGACAAATCCCCGCCCCCACATCTTTGAAAGATCAAATCATCTGACAGTTACTTAAAGTCCAACTTGATTTTAGACTAAGTGCAAATCATTTCCATGGTAATCATAAACAAAATAAGATCTGCCTCACATATCTGACACATTTTACTGAAAAATATTAAGAAGTTTTAGAGTTGTGCTCCGGAAGCAGAAACCTACCTGCGACTAAGTCTGAATCATTTCAATGGAAACCGAGAAAAATAAAAATGACAAAAATCTGCAAAAGCAAAAGGCACCACTTTGGGATCTGCCTCACATATCTGCCAAGTTTTGCTGAAAGATATTAAGAAGTTTTCGAGTTGTGCTCCGGAAAGCGAAACCCACCCCTTCCTTTTGAGACTAAGTCCGAATCATTTCCATGGAAACCAAAGAAAATAATAAATCACAAAATCTGCAAATAGCAAAAGGCACCACTTTGGGATCTGCCTCACATATCTGCCAAGTTTTGCTGAAAGATATTAAGAAGTTTTAGAGTTGTGCTCGGAAGCGAAACCCACCCTTCCTTTTGAGACTAAGTCCGAATCATTTTCCATGGAAACCAAGAAAATAATAAATCACAAAATCTGCAAATAGCAAAGGCACCACTTTGGGATCTGCCTCACATATCTGCCAAGTTTTGCTGAAAGATATTAAGAGTTTTAGAGTTGTGCTCGAGGAAGCCGAAACCCACCCCTTCCTTTTGAGACTAATTCGAATCATTTCCATGGAAACCAAGAAAATAATAAATCACAAAATCTGCAAATAGCAAAAGGCACCACTTTGGGATCTGCCTCACATATCTGCCAAGTTTTGCTGAAAGATATTGAGAAGTTTTCGAGTTGTGCTCCGGAAGCGAAGCCTACCCTTCCCTTTTGGGACTAAGTCGAATCGTTTCCATGGAAATCGAGGGAAAAATAAAAATGCCAAAAATGTGAAAATAGCAAAAGGCACCACTTAAGGTTCTGTTTGATATATGTACAAAGTTTTGTTGAAAAATATTGAGCGGTTTTAAGATGCACGGAAACAAAATGATTATGGACGGACGGACCGGTTGGCGACGACTATATCCCCTGCATTACATGCGGGGGATAAAAGGGAAAAAGAGTTCCTTATGTACCCCCGCCTATTTTATAAGGTACTTTTCATTACTTGTATATCTTTGTATAGATATGTATTCAGGTAATATAATTTGATTTAAAGGGTTATACTGACAGTAGTCTTTCTACTGTCTGAATTATTACCCTTACCCCTTAATGTCTAAGCTTCCCCAGTCACTTCTAGGCAGAGGACGATTTACGCTTTGGATTTTAAGAAAGTAAACATGTTTCAACACAATAACAAAGCGGGTGTGCGTTGGTGTGCCTCGAAAGCTGCATATATATTTTGAATCTCGCGATGAAGAGCTTTCAGAGAATATTAAATGTAAGTTTCTGAAAAATATGCACATAGGTGAATTAAGCTGTTCAATATCGTCAAATTTTGCTTAAAATTTTGCACATTTTGGTCAAAATTTGACTATCTAATGTTTTCTTTATACGTTTTCATTCATGTCAATCAATAACTTTAACAACCTATCAATGTCTGTAGCAAATTTTGTTTCATTATTTTCATAAATAACACTTTTAGACGCGTTTTTGTGTGACATGCAGAATTTCCCTGTCTGTGATCAGGCAGTGATGCGAATGAGTGACCCCCTCTCAGGTAGTCACTTGTACACGTAACAGGGGACCGTCTCGCGTACACGTTACGTCCTCTACTGGTTACGTTTTTATTTTCACATTACCGTTTTTTTTCCAAATCTATAACCTACTTGATTGTTGGTAAGACTTCCGCCCGTATCGCCCCTAAATTTCAATGAGGAACAAATTCTTTCAGTGTCACTCTTAGAAGTTGGATATGTCTTTCAGTATGTTCAGATACAATTAAAGAAACATGTTACAACCCATTCTTATCAGATGAGGAATATTTATGTCAGGTGATATGATTTGACCAGAATGAAATATAAAGGGGATACTGGCGGAAGATCTTACTGGATTGTGTTCACATTATGAACTCTAGACCTTGCAAGAGACAAAACTACTGGACATACTTTCAGTAGGCTGAGTAGCTACTGACTGTTCATCGATATGATATCACGTCAGTGAAATGAACTGCAATATACAGTCACCAGCACAAAACATTACTGAACAGTAAATGACATGCACTTAAAACAGTTATATCAAAGCACATTTGCGTCAACAAATCGGAACGGTTAACAAAAAACAATGTGATCGAATACTGGACAACACTCTCTAGAAATAAGACTTGACAGTCAAACGCACTAAATGATAACTTTCTTACAGTATTTCCATCTCCTTCATACTGATGGTCCATTATATATGTATCACCAAGATGTCATTATGATTAACCAGCAAAACAATGGAAGATGTAGATCTAGTGTTACTGTTTAGTTAGGTCAAACATCACCGTATACACATTTCACCTACGGCCTTGACCTTCTTTGAGATCACGCAGGGTCTCGTGTATTCCAGATAGAATTCCCCATCTGTAGTTTCCTATCTTTCCATTCACTATCCGCAGACAGGTAAGAAGTTATTTTGTATTTTTGGCCAAATGCACATTGATATGATATATTTGGTTATTTTTATGTTTTATCCTTTCATTTGTATCACATGCGACACGTTACTGGAATTATATCTAACAAGAATGAGTAAGAAAACGGAATCTTTCAAACATATATTTGTTTTGAACAAGGAACATGATTATATCGTCATGTATCACTTTCACTTTGTAATTTAAAGTTTTGTCTTTACTTTAGAAATAACACATAACAATCAATTTTGGATAACAAAAATAGTTTAGATTGCATGTATATATAGTGTACAAATTCATTTGTTTCTACGGAAGCGTAGTAGAGGGCCACGGTGAAAATTTTTTTGGGTCACTATCTCCTACGTGGGACTTACTATCTCCTACGTAGGACTTACTATCTCCTACGTAGGACTTAATATATCATTTTTAAGGATGGTTATTAAGTTGAGAAATGTTTGGCTATGTAGGACGTTAGATAGTCGAAATGTGAGTCAGTGAATATTCATGACACTAATGCAGTGTTACTGTACAGTGTTATTGTGTGTGTATTACGTTAGGGTGACATGGAGGTTTGGGTATGGTTATGTTTAATCTATCATACATACATCTATTCACACACACAAAGACACAACACACACACACACACACACAGAGGTGGGTGGTATGGTTGGGAGTGAGGTTGTGATATGAAACTCGGGTTATACACGACCTCCGCAAGTTGTTGCTTGTCTTTATAGGGCTAGGTTGGATCGGATGCAACGCTCGTTTGCGGTTTTATTCGTAATTGTTTACAGGTTGACTTGACTGGGGTGGACAAGTGTTGAGTGCGGCGTAAAACAATACGTGGGGATTCGAACCCGGGTCTTCGGCGTGACGAGACAACGCTTTAACCACTAGGCTACCCACCGCCCCTCTAATAGTGAAGGAAACAGTAGACTCTAATAGTAAATTAAAACTCATGATAGTAGACTCTAACAGTAAATGAAACACATAACTGTAGACTCTAATAGTGAATGAAACGAATGACTGTAGACTCTTACAGTGACTGAAACAGTGAAACAGGAGATTGTGTGCGTGGCTGGGGCTTTAAGTCGACTGTTTCAGATTAATCCATATAAACGTATATCGATCATCTCCTACAGGAAATATTAAGTACTACGGAGGAGATACTATGTCCTACGTAGGAGATACTAAGTCCTACGTAGGAGATACCCACTTAGGAGATATTACGTCCCTACGTAGGAGATACTAAGTCCTACGTAGGAGATATTAAGTCCTACGTAGGAGATACTAAGTCCTACGTAGGAGATAGTAAGTCCTACGTAGGAGATAGTAGAGATCCTACGTAGGAGATAGTAAGTCCTACGTAGGGAGATGCTAAGTCCTACGTAGGAGATACTATGTCCCTACGTAGGAGATACCACTTAGGAGATACTAAGTCCTACATAGGAGATACTAAGTCCTACGTAGGAGATATTAAGTCCTACGTAGGAGATACTAAGTCCCTACGTAGGAGATATTAAGTCCTACGTAGGAGATACTAGAATCCTATGTAGGAGATACTAAGTCCCTACGTAGGAGATATTTAGTCCTACGTAGGAGATACTTAGTCCTACGTATGAGATATTAAGTACTACTTAGGAGATAGTAAGACCAACAAAAATTTCATCGTGGCCGTACTACGCTTCCGTATATTTCTAATGTTGGGTTATACATGTACATGTATATAGGCCTTAAAGTTCTTTCAGAAGTGTTTGTGACATCTGACATAGATCTAGCATACTTTTCAAAAGTGTGGCACTTTAATTGATCTATAAATCTTACCACTTCTGATGAAGCATGCACCATTTGCTTTCGTATTTATTTGTTAAGATATATTTACTGGAAGATACATACCCTTGTGATATAGCATCCAAAATATAGTTATGAGCAGTGATGTGGGCTCCATGGTCTTTGTACCACCTCATCCTTTAATCACGAGTGGATTCTGAAGTCTCTTCAGTGTATTGACCTCCCTGAGCAACTACTTGATTTACTCAAGTCTTTAATGAGTTGCTGGTCGACTCAACTTGAGATGTACTCGCAAGGTAATGTGCAGACTTCGGAATCTATTCCAATCAGAAGGGAATATTTCAGGGGATTCCTTTAGACCTTTGCTTTTTGTTTGTCTCTAAATCCTTTGAGCTTTCTGCTCAATGAAGAGGAGGTTACCATCCCGTACCTCCTCAGCACAAATCCCCAACACTGCTTGCTCATCTCCTTTACATGGATGACTTTGAGCTCCTTGCCATAGGAAATGCCAATTTGAAAGAACAGGTTCTCGTTGTCAAGTCCTTTTCTAATGATATTGGCATGACGTTTTGGACTCGACAAATGTAATACTCTTCATTTGGAACCCGACAAGGTAATCAGGGCTCCAGATTAGGGACGTATCGGCGTATGTACGGATATAAAATGTGCACGATACGGTAGGAAATAATTTAGAAAACGTAGCACATACGCACTACGGCAGTGGTGTACGGTCTTAGAATCAATTACAGACGTATCTATATGAAAAAGTTTTGTTTTATTATTTATTTACCTGTTTACACAAAGAGTAGCAATGCTGTTGCGCATATATGAAATGAAACACAAGATTACTGGTAATCCACAGAGGCTGTCAACCCCTAAAGATGGTTTGGAGTGAGACTGAAAAAAAATAAGCCGGGGTCCAGCCGGGTACATGTCGAGGGGCGACGCCCTGGTGGGGTATCTGGGGGCGAAGTTTAGTGATTTTCAGGAGCATTTGGAGCCTTATGGTGGCATTTTTTGACACTAAAAGATGCATGCTAATAAATAATAATAAGCCGAATCATTCGCATAAACATCGTTTTAGTACTTCGTTCATTCAGGCGTTCTTTCAATGTTCAACTTTACGCAAAACGAACGAAAATGCGTATTAATTTTGAAATTATTTTTGGCACCAGATATGCGTGAGATTATTATTTGGAGGCGTGAGGCGTGACATTTGTCAATAAAGCGTGAGACTCACGCCAAATGCGTGAGAGTTGACAGGTATGAATCCATTAAATTCAATTAAAGTACTCTTTATGTACTCTTAAGAATTTCCAGTTCTCCTGCATTGAAAAGTAAAGAGTACGTACTCCTGATGATTAAAATTTATCAGGGCCCTGGTAATAGACCGATTCAGTCCCGGTCGATAAGCCCCGCCCACTTCGTTTTTGACGTTTGGGGGACAACCACGGACTAATCACAATGGCGTCACCGCCGGCGAAACGTTACGTGATTGCGAACGTTGTTGATGAATTCTGCTTGTGATACTTTGGTATCCGTCGTTTGTGAATGTTATTTAAAGAGGGCAAGTTATACGTATGTGATTTTTATTATATTATAGCTGGCAGATTGCAACTGGCGAGTGAAAATGAGTTACATGCCCGATGAAAAATCGTCTCGACTAGCTGCTGAGACTGTAGGAAGATTAATTTCTTTCGAATCAATTAATCTATCTGGCGATTCACCTCCGTCACAGATATTAGCAGGGGAAGGGTAACTGAAATTTTGTTGTTTGAGTTTATAATTTTATAAAACTCGTGAACACAACCACATGTTCATGTTGCAGATCGTTTTGGTATCTATAAATAGATTATCAACATTGCGCGTGGCGCCCTTTACTTATCCTTTGGCGTTGTTCAAATATTTGGTTCAATAATCTGAAAACATGGGTTTCTATCTTTTAATGTATTAAGAGAATGGTAAATTAAAAGAAAGCAGAAAATGTTCCCGTGTACTACTTCATGCACTTTATTTGTCTGTATATAATTTATGTAAACAAATCAATCACATTTGGAAATCTGGAAGGTAAGTGGGCTTGTAAAACAGTATGTTTCCATGGATGTATCTAGATCTGGACATACCCAGCAAATATTCAACAGCTGATCTGCAGCAATTCTCAGTAAAGTTTCTCTCTTCAAAATCTGTACACCATGATAAACTGACACTGAATATAAGGAAATCATTCTTTTAATCATTTCCATTTTACTTTTCTATATGTACTTTTTTGTTGAATCCTAATTTACATACAAACTTCCACAATACTGGACTTCATGAACTGCCAGCGTTTATGTACAGGTATGTCACAGTACGAGAACACAAAAAAGATCCAAGATACAGTCTGCACCTGTACACTAGCTGAGCCATCTTCCAGAAATAGGAAACATGTGATGCAAAATCTTGGAACAGAGGATCCACAGTTATCGAACAATTAACTAGCATTGAAATAGAATGTTACACAAAAAATACAAATGTAGATCTATTGTTTTTTATCAGAGACGTTTAACTGCTAACTACTAGTGTAAAATAAAGGTGCAAAAGAATATGTCCTATGTTCAAAGCTTTTTTGTCAATACATTTACATATTGACATTATTGCTTCTTAATTAAACAATGATAACCTTTGTTTTATTAGATCTGAGACCATATCCATAGAGGACATAACACTGATTTTGATCTATTTCCTTTTCTGAGATACTTACTGGTGTCATACAAATTATAGTAAAGTTGATTTAAAATTTATTTAAAAGTCATAACAAAGGTTTAGGAAAACAGACATGAAAATGTCCTGAAGCATTCACCTCCTACAAACCAGTGTGCAATTTAATATGAAGCTCATTTTCCCAATAACCATCAACAAACCTCAGAACAATTTGTCAAAATCCATCATCTTAATAAACACTAGCTTTGGCTCAGTCTTCAAATATTGATAACCTCCTAAAAACTGATGATTTATCAGAAGAATTACATCAAATATGGGTTAAATATATGTTTCAATATTTATTCCGTTACATGAAACGTCAACTGAGATTTTTGTAAGTTCTTATGTTCCAGGGCCTGTTTTCGAAGCTCTTTTAGCGTTAAGATAGTCGTAAGTTAATGTTAATGCATGGCACTTCCGACTATCTTAGCGCAAAGAAAACTTCGAAAATCTATGAATCCA